AGGCTTGTAATTGCACATGCTAGAAACGGGCATATTAAGCCCCAAAAATCAGATGTATCCCGCTCAGTTTCGAGTGCACATTCAGACTTCTAATTACACATGCAAGAAATGGACATATTAAGCCCCAAAAATCAGATGTATCCCGCCCACTGCAGATATGGTTGTTCACACCAGCGTAAAGTAGTTATTCTCGTTGTAGATGACTTTTACCTGCTTGCTGCTGATATGAGTGATCGCATTAACGTAAAGCAGCAATCTCGTCTCCACCAGGTGGGTAGGTAACGTTTACCTGCTCGGTGCAGATACGGCTGATCGCGGCAGCGTGAAGTAGCGATCTCGTCTCCACCAGGTTTATAAGTGGCGTTTACCTGCTCGCTGCAGATATGGCTGATCACCCCAGCGTGAAGTAGCGATCTCGTCTCCACCAGGTAGTCGCCTATCGATGCCCACGCCTCGCTCGTGAAGCCCCCTTTCGCTTTCTGTCGAACTTTTACTTACTCCCTCTCCCCTTGACACTCACTTTAGTTTCATTGCTCCACGACTGCTATCTCTCATTTGAATGCACCTGGNACTTTTACTTACTCCCTCTCCCCTTGACACTCACTTTAGTTTCATTGCTCCACGACTGCTATCTCTCATTTGAATGCACCTGGTCATTTTCAGCGCCAGGTGCAATCAAATAAAATATATAAAAAAAAACATCAACACATTCCAGTTTGCTTCTCCTCAGTCGCTCTTCCACCTCACTGACCAGTCCGCTTGATAGCGCGCAGAGAAAACCCGGCATGTGCCGGTTTACTATCGTGGGCCGAGTACCCCCTGCATGCGTCCGAATCGCAACGCGTTGATCTTCCTGCGCCCAACATGGGTGTGCGTTGTGTACACCTGACATACCTCCGAGTCTGCCTAGTCCCCCCTTCCCCCTGTTCTCTCGTGGTCTTGCCCTATATCCCGTCTTGGACGCTGCCCCCACAAGGTCAACCCTGGTCCTCAGCGGTACCTGTTCATTGCTGAGGGCTCGCACTCTCTGTTCCCCCGGTACCAGGCCCAACACCCAGGCTATAAGAGGGCTGCAGTCCCTGGCCATGGACTGCTGGAAAACCCAGGCCCAATGACCGAGCTCAGAGGGGGCCCAGTCGGTACGAGCGGCCCCCAGAGAAAACGGATTCACAACCCTTAGTTGAAGGCCCTTTCCCAGGGTCCATAAAAAAAACAGCATCGCGCCTCAGAATTACCAAGTTCGGTCTTAGCATCCCAAATGCATTAGTTAGGTCAGCAGCAGTTCCGAACCTGGAGCATGTGTCGCAGGCTGCGGTCATCTGTACCGTCACCACATCGAAGTTAGACTGGTAGTTATATCCAAAATTAGTCATTTTTAAGGTTCAGCGGACCGGAGCCGCCTCAACCAATGTTAGGTTCCGTGCCGAGCAGCAAGTATGTCCCACCAGCATCGGTACAAGAGTACTGTAGCACAGCCCCAATGTCACTCCAAGCACCACACGTGTCATTCCCATGCCGGAACTGTTACCGACTGTGTGACAGCTCTGCAGCCACTAGCATCAGCCTAGTGTCATCCAGCACTAGTTAATAAAAGTTGTCCCGTACTCAATGCCTTAGCAGCTCCCACCAACCAATGATCGTGTGTACGTTGATTCAACGCCAACCCGTGAAACAACCGCCTCGAACTACTGTGGCCCGTGTCATATCGCTCTAATCCTTTTGAGTCGTAGCTTATATCGTCGTCGAACCGCATCTGATACCGAACCAACCCGAATAAGAGACAACCGTACCGTGCCGATGYCGTGCCCACGCCGTACCTGAGGATGTCGGCGCTGAGCCTGAGTTAAATACCCGTGATAGCGCCGAACCTGGAATAACCTGCCGTCCAGGTTCCGAACCTGAAATACATCGTCATAGTGGCTCCAGACCTGAAAGTAAGCCACCGTGGMGGTTCCGGCCCTGAAACAAATAGCCATGATGATGCTGATCCTGAAAATAAATCACCCTAGTGCCCGAACCTGAAGTACGCCGATACCGGCTCAGGCCGAACCTCAAACATGTCCGGTTCCGAACCTGACATYATGYTGTCGGTCCAATGTAACACRWTCCCACGCTGTCCATATCCATGYGGTCATCGTCCGTACTGYCGGRCTCAGTAAGGTTAGTAATCAGGTAAATAGGGGACGCRTCATAGAGAGTTTCGATCATCGGGGGAATAGCAAAAAAAAGTTAGAGCTAAGGGAATTTGATCAAATCTGGGTTCTGAGCTGACGGTGGATATCCCATGCAAAACCAAACCAGGCATCGAATAATCATTAGCTCCTGTTTGTTCCATCATTTTTAATCGTTCTCCCTTTTCCTTAATTCTATCGTCTGAAATAGTGAATTAGCCCTAGGTTCACAAAAAATGAATTCTGAGGGAGTTTAATCAAATGGTTGAAATTCTCTCTTTTTTTCTCTCCCTTACCATTTTTAATCTTTTTCTCTGGTTTTCTATTTCATTGCCGGAAACATAAAATAACGAGGTATTTTCCCTAAAATTTAAATGCCGCGAAAAATAAGGGAACTAAGGGATATTACGTTTTTTTCTTCCTTCCTACTGTTCCCAATCTTTTCTCCCATCTTTAGTTTAGGTATGAAAAATAGTCAAAAATTCGAGGCCTCATTTCGGCCCCGGTCGTATGCCGCAAAAACATTGCGGCGAAGTCAGTTCTCGCGATGCCTCTCTGCGGCAGGTCAATCCGAGTCTAGCTCTTTAAACGGTCGGGAATGCCGGTCCCTAGATGCACTGAGTGCGGCCACTTATCTCGCCATCTTTCAGGGTTACTCGTAAGGCTCAGTGCGCCCAGAATCAGGGGTGCCCTGAGTTCCCTTAATTTTTGCTGCCTGGTCTAACTAGAGTACTGTCAAAACTTAGACTCCTCTTCGCGCCTAAGTCCCAAAACCGTAGATTTCAGGTGGCGCACTGCTTGTGGCCGCCTGACAGTTAGCCCGGACCACTTCTCGACGCCCCCGTCGAGCCCTAGCAACTTTCGTCAGACGAAGCGGATGAGCTTCAGGGTGATGGCCTGTAAAGGTCGCCCACGTCGGCGTTCAATTGTCTTATGCTTCAGTTTGTTATGAGCCCTGGGGCTAAGAAGATGTTTTTTGACTCTCCTGTCTCTCCTGGTTTTTGGCCCCGACACGATCCTCTTTCTCTTCTGTCTTTGCCTCGAGAAGGGTGTCGACCCGCCAGTACGTCTAACGCGAACTCTCCGTTTAGCTCGCTTGAGCACGAATAACCATCTCTTCTCTTTTCCTAAAGCTAACCCTTTGACCTTTCTCTTCTCTAATCTTTTCCTTTTCTTGGAACTCTCCCCTGCCCCGAATTGCCTCAAGGGGGCTCCATCCTCCATTTTGGTTTTTCCTTTCCCTTTCGGGCTCGTCAGCGATAAGATGGGCGCGGGCCTGGGCCTAAACAGCTTTAACCTTGCACCCGCCACTGGGTCCTTCCACTTGGATCCGTCTAATTCTGCGATCATATATGCATCCCAGTCGAGTGCCTCAACCACTCTGTAAGGTCCCATCCATCTGTTGGCGAGTTTTCCGGTCCAGGTTCTTTCCAGCGCTGCATCGTAGAGAAGGGCCATATCTCCTACGCTCACCCTCTCTTTCCTGATTCGCACGTTCTTATCCCATCTCTCTTTACCCTTGTCCCTTTCCACTACCAGACGATCTGCCGCTGTCATGAGGTCATCTTCCAAACCGTAGGCTATTTGTCTCGTTCGGGCAGCTAAAAGTTCCTCTCTGGACATCTCCTCCGCCTAGTCGACGGTTGTCCAGCTGTCGACATGAAACTCTATGGGAAGCGGACAATGTCGCCCAAACCACAAGGTGTACGGTGGGTATCCGGTACTAACCCGGACCGTGACGTTGTCCGCCCATATTGCGTATCGAAAATATCGTGGTCAATCACTGTCCTTACCCTTGCACCACTTGGACAGTGACGCTATCAGAGTCTGGTGTCCCCTCTCTACWGGGGAGTTCGACTGTGGGTGATAGGCGGTGGCTATCGAAACTCTCGCACCGGCTCTCCTAAACACGCTCTGAACCTCGTCGACTAGGAATTTCGCCCCTCTGTCCATCACTATCTTGCTGACACAACCATACCTAGATAAGTACTCCAGGACAAAGTTTTTTACTTCCTTTGCCACCTTACTCCTTATAGGTCTACCGTCCACGAACCCAGTGAAATCGTCTCGTATGTTCACGACGTAGATCATATTGCCTACCCCTCTCGGGATTTTCACTAGATCGATGTGTACCTTCTCTCCTGGTCTGGTCGGATAGGATGGATGAAGTGGCTCTTTGTATTTCACAAGAGCTCTCTTCTGGCACTCTTCGCATGTCATACAATACCTCTCGACGTCCTTATACTGTCCATCCCACCAGTACAGCCGGCGTATCTTTTCGTAGGTTCCTTTAACTCCCTGTGTCCTCCGACTACCCCGTCGTGAAGTTCCGCAACTATCGTCTGTCTCTCCTCAGGATCACAGACTACTCGCAAGGGCATTCCCGATCCTACTGGCCTTCGGAAAAGGTGGCCTGCTCTAAGACAGTACTGGACTGCTTGCCTCCGGATATCTGAATCTTGACTCTCCTCTCCCGTCAGGTGTAGTCCGATCATTCGGTACTTGCCCTCGTAAAGATTAACTAGAAATCTTTCGGCACGTTTCGGCTCTGCCATTGTCAGAGCCCCAGCTACTATCGGACGCTCGAGAGGGATGCGTGAAAGTCCATCTGCCACGACATTTTTAGTACCAGATATTCTCTCAACCGTGTAATCGTATAGCCGAATCCGTATTAACCATCGGGCGATGGTCGGGTCCGTCAGACTAAAGTCCTCCTGGAGGACAGAGGCAACCGCGGTGGGGTCTACTCTCAAGATGAACCGTCGCCCATAGATATAGTGTCTGAACGTGTCTAGACACCAGAGAACAGCTAACACTTCCTTCTTGAATTG